CGACTAACCAATAGCAATGTTTTAGGAAAGTTACCTATCCGTGACTGGAACAATAGCGAAAATTAGAAATTGCGATTAGTGGATTGGCAAAAATACCATGCACACGTGACGGCGAATTAAGCACATATATTTGAATGAACGTTGACAACATAGATAATGGTTATATTGTTATTCTAATGAGTTTCACAGCCATCTTTCCTATGGTTTGATTTGGATATATTATTACCTAGTAATTATCTGTGCACATTTTCTGTCACGTTTTTCACCGGAGGTAGGTAGAAAATCACAAATACAGAAAAAGTATTTAAAAATTTATTTGCTCCCGATTTTTGTTTGAAAGTCCATTTTAATTTACGAAAATAATGACCATTTCAAACCATAGCCCATCGAAGGGAAGATGGCTATGAAACTTATTAGAATAACAATACAACTCACCTTCATCCAGGAAGTCATCCTGAGAGTCTCTTCTCTGTGTTTTTGCAACACCTTGTACTGTCGTGCAAAAAAAACACTTCTATATTAGTCCTTCGAAAATCTAGCATGTCAGGGAGCATTTGTTATCTTCTGCTTATCAGATTATTAACTACTTCAGATTATTAACAGATTATCAGATTATTAACTACTTATTAACGGAGCGCGAGGTCTTTAAAGAGAAATATTGGACCGAGGTCTTTTTCGTACAGACCGAGCCCGTAGGGCGAGGTTTGTACAAAAAGAAGTTTATTATATGACATTTATAGTCGAAAGATCGAAACAAACAGGAAATGCATGATTTGAAATGCATTAATGTAGCATGACACACATTTAATCAAAGAAAACAAAAAATACCATTGTATTCCTTCCTTTTCACTTGAAACCATTCGCAGATAACTTAGTAATAACAAATGAAATTATAATTTTCAATTAGTTTTGCTGTTTTGTTTTAAAATGCATGCGTCTGTTTTTACGTAATGGACCGTCGGTCCATTACGGGAAAATAATGGCCCAGCCAATCACAGTCCGCCATTTCACCGGACGTTGATGCTTGCCATTTAATAAAGTAATATTAATATCATACAAAATAAAATGTCTTCAAACCGAAGCAAGAAAGTTACACAACAGTTTTCAATGACTTTTCAAATTAGACTAAAAAATAAAACGTCAATTTTCGACTCATTGGACTGCATTCCCCATGAACAAAATTTTGATGTAGCCAAGTCTAGACAAACGTTTCATCACAGTTTGAAACAGCATCACAAAATTAGTAATATTCCAAAGTTTCGTTGCGAAATATTGTAAAATGCGGGTGATATAGCCCTGCGAAGTTTGCCGTTTTTCAATCATTTTGTATTACGCGCGGGAAATTGATACCTTTTTTCAGTTTTAATTTACTAGAACTTCCGACAAAAATCTCCAGATGCTTTCAAAAACCAGAGAATCACAATACTGTAAACTTCAACATCCTTAGAAATTGTAAGCCAAACATCGAAAAGCAAAATTTGCGGGAAAAGCTCACGAGCCCGCACTATTTTTGTGCAGCGTCAACGAAAGTCCACTCTGTTATAATTTTATAAACTTAGGCTTACAGTTACCTTTGGGTTCCAGACATTTCAAAAATTTTACTTCTTCTATTAATGGCTCACCTTTATCTGGATCTTGAAAGGGGTCATCCATAGAGTCTGTTCTCTGTATTTCTGCAACATAAATATGAAATTCTATATTAGTCGTTCAATAATCTAGCATGTTATAGGAAACATTCGTTTACTTCTCCTTCCGTGTCATTATTTTGCGAAAAAATCATTTCATAAAATTATTTTTTTATCATGCTTTTTATCAGATTTTAGTATAAATTCAACACTGACAATTTACTTTCAAGCGTTCTGATTGGCTCCCTCAGCAGTAACTCTGAGGAAAGAGTTACTGCTCAGACTGCTCTGAGCATGCAGTAACCATTGCTTTTACTATAAAAAGGCTGCCGAAAGTTCAAATTGTCTCTGCTGACCATGAAAGTCAGTATTTTTATACGGTCTAATTAGTATGCTAATCAGTTGTGCTGTAATCCTCGTAATATTAAAACCTCTCCGTTTTGTATGTTGTTTCCAGCTTGAGCCCGTATCTGTATTTATTTTGAGATCGTACGAACTACACTAAGTTTCCAAAGATCATCTCGCAACGAGCTGCCTGTAGCTCAATAGACCTTACCGATTATTCTCTTTTACACAATGACCTCGTTTCCATGTTAACTTATTTTAACAGGGGCAGATAAAGATTATATTCCCATGTTTTCCCGGACGAATTTGTTTCTTGCTGTTCTTAGGCTCAATAAGAAAGTAATTTTCAACCCTACTGAACACAAAACATGAGTAAGTATTTGACTCGAAAACAAGGCCATTGGGTAAAAAGTGACTAAACGGTAAGGTTTATTGCTACAGTACTGGACTCCAAGCCAAAGGCTACAGATTGGATTTTTTCAGCTTACCCGATATAGTTCCACACAGACATACATATGAAACAAGTATGGCACAAAGTAAGAATTTAAAGTACTGTCAATGCTTGCGACAAAAACAAATAGACTTAAAACTAGGATAAATGTTCATTAATGCCACAGGGATGAACAGTGCCAAGTTTAAAAATGAGGCGCATTTCACGTCTTTTCGGCTATCATTGCCGTTCCAGAAATGGGACAGAGAGCTCAAATTTTTATATCTGAAACACTGTAATTGCCACTATTAAAATGCCTGGCAACAGGCTGGTTAACACATTACCAATGACTGCACATGCATACCGATGCATGCTCTCCAAACCTTGTCCTCAAAAAGCTTCTAGTTTCTTCAATATATAGCATGCCACACATACTGCATGAGATGCAGTAAATGGGATGGTGGAAGATGCATGCACGCGAAATTGTTCTTAACATGATATTGAGATTTTGTTGCCGAAATGGTGGTAGCAGCATCTAAAACTCGTATGTTTTACACTGGGACATCCAACAATGAAACGTGCGATTCGAAGGCAACAAATCCTGTGGTTATACGGAGGTTATAAACTAGAGTTTCATGGATATTTTGTGTGTGTGGAGAAGAGACGAAGGGATTATTGGAGAAAATGGAGGATGTTTCAGGGTCGTTTTCCAAGATATAGAAATTTTCCCTAATCACATCTAAACTTTGAAATTAATTAAAAGGATTTGACACAGGGTCTTCAAGGGTCTCAGATCGGGGAATTTGGGGGGACGTTCCAAAAGACAGTCAAGAGAGAGAGGCGAGATAGCCACGTTGGACGATACTGATTTAATAAATTGTAATGAAGCATCGAATGAAACACGCAAGCTATGGCTGGAAATTAACGGCGTAAAGAAGCATATGTCCACGTTGCGACCAGTGAATTTACAAGCAAAGGTACGTCGATCAGTTAGAGTTACATCAGTTTTGTTTGGGGTATCATCTGGTCACCAGTGACAGTAGTTCACATCACAAGCATGGTAAGGTGAACTACTGTCACTGACTCACTGGTGAATACAGATGTAAAGTACTTGTTGAACAAGTTGACAAGTTCGACAGAATTAATAGGGCGCTCCTTATTGATTAAGTATAGTGCGTGGCAAGCGCGTGCGAGTAAACCTCGATATTTTGAAAATTTCAAAATAAATATGTTCACTCGTTGTATTCAAACGAAACTTTCTACATGCATGAAAGTGCTAACCTTGAATACTAAGAGTATTTGCTCATATTGACTTCCAGCAAATTCCGAAGAATTTAGAAGATATTCCAGTTTTTTCTCCAAATAAAATGAAGAATGTTTGGCCAAGTGTGATTAAATGTATGATTGGTTTGGTTTGTGTAATGTTTTGAAGGCACTTGACCCCCCGTTCAAAAGGTTATATTCGGTGCATGAGCATTTCAATGGTGGTTTTCGTTTTAATTAAAGGGGAGGGCACAATACTCGCTGAAATATTTACTTAATACAAACAATTGAATTATAAATATGAAATTGGGGCATGGTTAATTGACAAAGAATAATCCCAGTTTTATTAAAATTAACAGATTTTTCATAAATTCATGGGTTCTTTTATGGCATTTACATTTTATAGAGTTTTTCCAAGAATAGTCCTCGCATCCTGTGGTTTATCGGGCCTTCGTTATTACATTTACTTGCAGCAAAGTGTTCCTGTGGTCTTCCATATTTTCCCCAATGTATTAACGTAGTTTAACTCATGAGGCATTTGCACGAAATTTACATGCTTTTAAATTTAATAGGAGAATCTAAAATTAAATTTCCTTGGTTTACAAGACCATGTAAATAGAATATACAAACAATTTGCAATGCATCATGTTGCAGTCAAAATGCAAAAAATGTTCCGCTTCAGTATTCTGTTGTGTTTTACTGTAATTTCTGTTTGTCGGTGGCGGTTACAGATTTATCGACAAATACCGATGTAAAATTGAGTATTGTTTTTGCATATAATAATTTGTAGCAAAAGGATACATGTTTCGTTAGATTCATTGCATGCATAAAATGTGCGAAATTTAAATTTTAGTACGGAATTTAATTGCCAATAAATTGGTAACCCTTACAGAAAAATTAAAGTAGCTAAATCACAACTAGACACACGCAAATTGTGCTCGAAAATGTTCCCATTATTCTATTCCAAAATTGCTTCGACTTTATCCTATTATTCTTAAACTTTTCTCCTATTATTCCCAAAATTATCCCACATCAAATCAAACCAAGGCTGAGAGAACTTTATTTATATAATGGATGTGGAGCTGGAAATTTTGACAAGATTTTCAATTTTATTTGCATAATGGTTAAAGAAACAAATAATGCATAACGCTATTAGTCCAAAAATTCTACGTACACGACGTATTCAGAGACGGTATATACACTCATGCACGCCGCAGGTCCGTGAGCGGATGGTGCATATGTTAATTACGGAATGAAAATTGACGTTATACCGACATGTTTCCCTATTATTCCCGCTTTTTCCTATTATTCCCGGTTTCAAAAAATCCCTATTATTCTAAAAGAAATTCCGGCATAATGTGCATCTCCCTAATCACAACAGACTACAGAAGCGGAAGTGGATTTGTATTTTGACTGTAAAAATTTGTATTTTGACTGTAAAATTTACAGATAATACTATTGTTTGTGGAAACACCACGTACTAAATTTATTACAGCAAAGCTTTCGATCCGTATAAGCCTGGATCTTCATCAGTGTTATTACTGCAGTAATAAAATTGGTGTTTCCACAAACTGAATTATAATAGTATTCTATGTTTTATTGCCATGCAAACCTACAAAGAACTTAAAATGTACAGAGTATGTAAATGAAGTTTTACATGCATGTTTTATGTGAAAAGATGTGTAAATGATTTTTCGATACATATATACTGTTACACATCTTTTTACATAAAACATGGTAAACTTATTTAAATACTCTAAATTTTAACAGGATGCAAATTGTTTGTACATTTTATTCATATATATGGTCTTGCATGTAAAGTTCAATATTTCGTGCATGGTTTTGCAGAGCTTGAAAAAATATCTGCGACACTTACAATTATTTGACAATTCTTCGTAATATCACAGGGGGTCCAACTAAGAGCTGTGTTATGAAACATTAATTAAACGTAATATGAATAAAACATCATAACGTAATAATTATCACTTATTTACTGAGACCGAGGGAAATAGTGTGTTTTGTGGACCCGAGACCGTCGATGTTTCCCGAGGCGAAGCCGAGGGAAACATCGACGGTCGAAGGGTCCACAAAACACACTGCTTTCCCGAGATCTCAGCAAATAAGTGTTTTATTATATATCAATATTCAAAGAAACAACAAATTAAAGAACAAATGAACGTAAATACATGAAATATTTTATTGTTAAAACGTTATATTAAACACTGGCTACACTGCAGTTACTTAAAGCGAAAGTTTTAATTACGTACTAGGCATGTCCAAAGGTCGCATCTTCACGTGATGGCGCACGTGATTTTTTTTTTGTTATTCGCCGGTCGATAACGTATTATCTCCCTCTCGCGCTGTTGCGAGGGAGACAGCCTAATTTCGTCACTCTCACGTGATATGCTCTCAACCAATAAAACACTAGAAAAATGCGACCTTGACTATTGATATATAATAAATTTAAATTATTGCACTTACTTGTATAAATCATAAGAGCTTGCATTTACAACGAATAGCTTCAAACAAGGCGCTTATATATGCTCAGAAACACCAGTTAGAACGATTGTTCAAATATGGCGAATAAATTGGCAAAACGAAAATATTACATGACGTTCCAACGAAAATAACAGAAAGGATTGCGGGCGCGCGAGCGAAAAGGCGAGGGAAGAAATAAATATTAAAAAGGAATGAAACAAATATCACGTGCCTTTTTAAAATGCTTCTAGACTAACCGTTTAAGCTTTTTATGGTATTTTTAGGGCTCAGTAGAAGTTCTCTTACATGAACAAGCCTAGTCATTACCAAAAAAGCACTGATCAATCTAATTAATGTGATTTATAACAGCGAGCATTCTTGGCCATTTTCGCGAGATGTGTTCCATAAGTAGCCTGGTCTCATGACGTAATGACTAAATAATAATAAAACAAAATAATGTTAAAAAACCCCGCTGGTCGCTACATTTAAATATTTCATATTAGCCGGTACAGCTAAACATTGTTTATTTTCATTAATTAAGCGCGTAAGCGTTGTTGGATTTGGCAGGAGGCGTTTTGGAATTTTCCGAGAGACCAGGCTACTTATGGAACTCATCACACGATCGCATTACCGGTGTTTCATCCCTTCTATTAATATCAATATCTATTACCCTCGCCTTCCGCTCGCGCCCGCAATCCTTTCTGTTATTTTCGTTGGAACGTCATGTAATATTTTCGTTTTGTCAATTTATTCGCCATATTTGAACAATCGTTCTAATCAATGTTTCTGAGCATATATAAGCGCCCGGTTTGAAGCTATTCATTGTAAATGCAAGCTCTTATGATTTATACAAGTAAGTGCAATAATTTAAATTTATTACGTTATGATGTTTTATTTATATTACGTTTAAACAATATGTTTTATTCATATTCATAACACAGCTCTTAGTTGGACTCCCTGTGGTAATATTTCGCAAATTTAGGAAAAACACCCCTTACCAGAACACGGTTAAAACGTCCAGCATTGTTTGGTGGGAGGAAAGGGCACAAAAGTAAGTTGTCTAATGGTAAAAATAGGCACAACTATGGGAATATTTTAATGGGATATCGCTGATGGTTTTGATCAGGATTGTAAATATTGCACCGATATTGCACATATATATTTTTTTAAAATTCTAAACGATTGTAAGATTGAAATTCGAAAATTTAAACCTAGTAATACCGTTGAATCCCGTATCAGGACCTTAAGATTAACTTTTGCGGAAGACCGCTAATCGCAAACGGCAAACTTGAAATCGCATTCGAAGGTAAGTTCTATAAATTTTCGACAGCTAAGTAGCTAATTCATGCTTCAATTTTAACGCACAATTTACCCCAAATTCGAAAGTACGATTCGAAGCTTCCCGTTTGAGGTTTAAGTGATTTGAAAACATTATTCATTAACAACCATCAATAGTGCACAGTGTTTCAGTCATCGTTTGTTTAATATGAAATCTACCAAAGCTAATAAACTGCAAAACCAGGGCGTGGCTACAGGGGACTGGGGGATTCCGGACCCCGCCACTTTTCGTCAGGACCAATTTTGTAATTTTTCCAAAACTGAGGAAAAAGGGGGAGGATGTAACCGGGTGGTGTTTTTAATGGTAATTTTTACGAGTACAAATTATTGTTAATGGACGATACTCAATGCGCTAGACCTAAAAACTATAGATTTAAAATGTCTATGTTAAGCCAACTCGAAAGCTGCTATTGTCTAAACAAAGGAAGACTCTATCACAGACTTTCATTATTTGCTTGCCAAACCACTATGTTTGACTTATTCATAACTATAACAATGGAACTATAGTTAAACATGGGCAGATATCCGAGTTAGCTTTATCTGCCTATATCATTCTTACTTGGATTGCGAGCTGTAAAGACTGATTTAAAGAGTCACCCACCAACCACCCCATGCTCCAGCCTTTTCACTGATGTAACGAGATGGTATAAGATGGTACTTGGAAGTAATTACGGTATGTTATGGGCCCGCCTAGGGAGTGATATTGAATTCTCGGGAACATTGAACTATATTTAGATCCACATATAAATATTATCTTCGTTGGATATTAAACGCTTATCAACATTCACTAGACTGTTATATCAATGTTATTATATATTTAATAAAATAATAAATAAAGAATGAAGTGTTTGAAGCAATTGCTCTAAGTATGAGGTCGCAATTTTGCCATAGACCTCACGTTTTCTTTACGGAATTTGGCAACCTGGCATACAGCCAATTCCCATTTACAAAAATCACTCTATTTCTGCATACGAGTATATGTGCTGAGCCAGATCAGTGTTCTAAGAAATATTTCCCTGATTATTTTTTCCCAGGGCCCAGCTCAGAGTATATGTCTTGCAGGGCAGGCTAGGACCCAGCTCTAAATGGAGTATATGTTCTAGCCGACTCAGGACCCAGCTCAAAATCCGTAAAAGTGTATGTCTTGGGCAGATTAGGACCCAGCTGCAAATCAGTATATGTCCTAATCGACTTTCCCCAAGATCCAGCTTTTCAATACGAGTATATGCCCTGGGAACCGCTCAGCACCCAGCTCTTCGCAGATAAAAAATACAGTATATAGAGCAATTGTCCCACAGTTCCATAACCCCACAAACCTCGTGTTCTTATGCGTGTCGTTATATTAAATATATATATATATATATATATATATATATATATATATATATATATATATATATATATATTTATATTAATTTTATTAAACGGTGAGGACATTAATGCATCTATACCAAATATTTGGCTTTAAGATCATCATAAAACGTATCTAATACTATGCATAAAATTGCGTTTCGCAGACCATGCCTCCGGACGGCCGAACCCCATAGTTGTTCTTTGTATTGTACTGTTACGAAAGTATATCTAAATAGTATAAAAATAGTTCAATTTGCACCCTAGGTAATTATAGATACTAGTTACGTCAAGTGGAGAGATAATGAGCATTTTTGCTGTAAAACGCAGATAAAGTATATATCATTTCGGACTTGTGTAAAAGTGTCAATTATCTGTCCATTAGGCAAGATAAATGATTTGTCAAACTGTCAGAGTTGGACGATAGCCTTGCATGGTGGGCTGTTGTGTTTACATAATTCAAAGTCCAAGGCTGGTTCTTCTCTGACATGAAAATGTGCATGCTTAGGGCCTTTCTGTCAATCATTCTTCGGTATATTTCGCGCGGTTGAGTAAGAATAACATTACGCCATCAAAATCTTGGTTCAATAAAATTGTAAGTAAATTTAGTTTAGTAGGTAAAGTAAGGTTCACATAGGTATAGTTTGAAGTTTTTACTATGATATTTTGATGAGTATTTTAAGTTGCATGTGAACATGTTTTAATGATGATTGATTGAACAGCGAACCAACTCGACCAGTGCGACAACGCCTTAAATAAACAGAATGTGAGAGCTGGAACGAGCTAGCAACGCCAACCCACACTTTTAAACTTCAACGTTGATTGGCTGGATACAAATTACACCACTTGCTACATCACGTGTAGAAAGATCCCTCAACCGTTAGTATAAAAGGGCGTGTACGACCCAAATTCGTCAGTGGACTCAACGAAGTAAAAATTATGTATGAAAAGTTGTAGAAAGCTCAAACGAAACAAGACAAAACGAAGAAATTAACGAACAGATCACGAACAGTGAAAGCCAGTTGAAGGCTGAAGTGAACTCTTGAAAAACTACTGCAAGAAAACGAACACTAAGAACTGATAGTTACTAGAGATTGATTGTAAACGATTCCCTACCTCGCGTAGAAAAAAGAAATAAAATATATATTTCTAACAGTACAATTGCGCCTAGATTTGCGTTGGCTACCCCTTGTTTAAAACAGTCGAAATCAAAATCGCGTGAGGGAAAAATATATCAAATGTGGTAAATGGGCAGGGCGGGAAGGCAAATATATTCTGCAGTATGTCAATTGACATGTGTTTACCACCCGAAAGTGAGATCTTTCTCGCTGTTAGTAGTATAGCGCCTATCCCAGGAAGGAAGCCCCCCTCCCAATATCAGTTAAAATCAAATGTAGTGGTTTTTCAGATTATTTCGGTAATCTTCATTCTTATAGTATAGAGAGTTTAAGTTCGACTTCCGTTCTCATAGTTTTTGTAGTGGAATGTCAAAGCATTAATTAAGTTATCACGACAGATAAAGGACAGAACACACTAATTGTCCCTGAAAATGTGCGGTATACTAAACGGCAGCTGAGCTACAATTCCGACTCAAATATGATTCACGCAATGCTAATAAACACATAATTTACGTGTTAATCGAAAAAAATATAAAATACCTGATTTATATGAGTTTATCTTACAATTCCCACAAGCGCATACGCATGACCTGTTGTTAGTATGGTCGAACTTAAACTCTCTAATTATTGACTCACCTTCATCTTCCATGTCGCTTTGAGAAAAGCTTTTATTGCTAACAATTCGTCTCATCCCCGTTCTTGCTACTACAACACCAAATAACGGGCAAGCTTTATAAAAACAAATTAGAATTCTCATATTAGTCGCTCGAAAATCTAGCTTGTAAGGGACCATGCTTCGTTACGTTTTGCTTCTTTGTCAGTATTTTACAAAAATATCGATCGTAGCATGAAAGTGATTCATCTATCATCCTATCATGTCATAGTGATATAATACCAAAGGGATAAGAAGTGTGTCTGTGATGATAATTTTCCAAAGTTTCTTTGCCAAATGTTGTAATAATGATGATAATTTTCCAAAGTTTCTTTGCCAAATGTTGTAAAATGCGGATGATATATAGCTTTGCGAAGTTTGCCGTTTTTCAGTAATTTTATTACAAACGGGAAATTGACAGCCCCAAATTGCTCAAAGGGTATTGGGCTGTCAATTTCTCCCGCGTAATGCAAAATGACTGAAAACCGGCAAACTTTGCAAGGCTATATTATCCGCATTTTGCAACATTTCGCAACGAAACTTGGAATATTATACTAATTTTGTGATGCTCTTTCAAGCTGTGATGAAATTTTTGTCTAGATTTGTTTAGATCAAAATTTAGTCTGTAATGCAAATGGTCCCATTATTCAATTAACATTCGTTAAATGACTCGGCCTAACGAATTTTTAAATTCTTCAAAAAATTTTAATGAATGGGGGATCGTTGAGGCGCCCTCCACATTATGGACATTGCAATATTTTAATAATATAATGTATCTGTACCGTTGACCTAGTCAGTTTTTTTCGGCATTTATATACGACGCCCTATTTTATGTGTTAGACAGTTGAACTGTAATTCTTGTAATATGAAAGCTCTCCGTTTTGAAATAAACTGGTGCGACTTATTGTCGTTTTAACAATATTTATGTTGCCATACCTACTATTGGTGCTTCTGCACGTTGCAATACTATTAAAGTAAAAAGATAATAAAGTCAAAAGATGTTAAAGTTACAGTTACAGTTTGTGAATGTAATAAACATATTTAAAAATAGTCTTACTGTGGTCTACACATTGAACACAAAATATACTAGTTTCAGTTACAGTTCTTGTTACAGTTACATTACAAATGTGTTATGCGTAGGGGATAAAATCAAATAAAATATAGAAACAAATTAGTGAACAAATTTTATTATTAACAAGTTTCTAGTGTTTCAAGGGTGTTTGGCACAATTTAAATCGTAACAAATATATAAATATAATTATGTTGGGAGAAGTAGCAGATATATTTAACATTTGCCTACTTCCGTACGTATAAAATCGAACATATACTACTAGTAATATAGACCCATTGAACTATAAATAAACTGGAAGGCTAACTGCTATGATGAAGGCCTATGATTTGATGAAGCCAAAATAGTTTTTCTGAGTTATGAGCAGAAATACTTGACCTCAAACGTCGAGCTATATATCAAATTGAAGCGATTGAAAATTGCTATTCGGTGTGGAAATGTCAAGATTTCAGCGAAAAGAAAAATATTTAAAAAATACAAAAACAAC